AGAAAGGTTCTGGCTGTTTTTGAACAACCTGACAGACTGGCAATCACAAGAGTCACTGAGGTGTTATACAGCTGTGGGAGGCTGTGAGAGAGAACATTTTGACAGTGTGCCTTATGGACTGCTACAGTGTGGGAATGTATAAATAAACTGTACTTGGCTTGGATATGCATTCTGAATGGCTTTTTAACACATTTATGAATATGGTGAGGATATCCTGACTGCAAATCACAAATTAAAGTAAATTATGACTTCACAAAATAAAACTTTACTGTGCAGTATAAATGGCAAAAAATACTTCAAAAATCCATGTAAATATATTTAAAATTATTAAATCCATGTAAAAACAAAATGCAAGGTGAATTGCTTCTCACAAATCACAAGCCAGTGTATGTATCCTTGCCAAATCTCCTTATTGTTCAGTGGAACTTAGGAGAAGGAAGTATGGTGACATGCTATCCTGATGCCATTGCTATTGCTTTCTGAATCTGAGTCCAAGCATGGCCTGCAAGTAAATTATTTGGAGCTCTGACTAAAAACCAAAAGCACTGTAGATTTACTTTACTTTTGTGTTAATAAAAATCATAAAATCTGAATTAACAGTCACTAGATTGCTTTCAAGGATTATACTGGCATTCCCACATGCTTTAGCTGAGTGCTCAGGTATTACATTTCTTTTCTCTTTGCAGTACCTTGATTTCTGATGCTAGAAATGATCTAAGCCTGATCTGCCAAAATGGCATACATTTGAGTAGGTTTTGAGGTTTTGTATAACGTTATCTGTTTTTTGGCTATGACTGCAAATCCATGGTGTTAAATAAGCCACCTACTTCAAAAGGCCCTTCCTGTATCCTCTGCCCAGATATATTCTGCCCTCAATTTGAAAGAGGGATAAATTGTTCCCTAAATGGGCTTGCTGGGTATGAATCAAACTCATAGAAAATTAGGCGTGGAAGGGACCTAAGGAGGTCATCTAATCCAACACCCTGCTCAAAGCAGAACCTTTCCTATCTATATCATCCCAGGTGAGTCTTAAAGAGTTTTTTTTTTTGCTTCCTGCAGGTTTTGTGTGTCTAGAATCCTTCTCTGCACTGGTGTACACTTCTGTAGTTTATTCCTATCCTGTCATGTGATGTGCACTTTGACTCATAGGCTTCTTGTTCAGGGGTTACCCCACTCTGGGGAACACATGGGTAACCTTTCCCTGCTGCTCCACTCGTCCCTAGAATTGCCAGGAGTCCAGCAGCACTCACATCCTAGTCTAGGGAAGGCACACAGAGCATTTCCGTGGGCTGGGGTTCATTCCTGCAGGAAAATGTCTCCTGCATAAAAGGTCTTCCTTGTTGAAATGAAGAAGATCTTTATCCTAGAATCAGCCTGCTTCCTGTGGGAGAAACTGCATGGATGTTCCCAGTTTCTATCAGGAGAGTAGCATTTCTTCTACTATGAATATAACACTTATCCATACCCAGAGCTGAACTAGTATGAAGAGAGGCTTTTCAAAAGCATATGTTGCAGGCATAGGAACACCCTAGAATTATTACTGTAGAACTGTGTTTGCTGGTATAGGTAAGCCAGTAACTTGTATATGCATTGTAGCAGTGGAACAGTTCTGATCCAAAAATTAAGTCATTCAGTGCATGTCTACACATACCCCTTTTAAGTGGGATTAGCTTAAAATAGCCATTTTGAGGCACATTAAGGGTGCATGTCCACACGTGTGCGCCCTTAATGCACCTTAAAATAGTGATTTTAGGCTAATCCCACCTAAATTTGGTACCTGCATAAAGCAGGTATCAAATTTAGGCACAGTTAGCCAAGTCCCATTAGCCCACATGTAGGTGCTTAATGTGCATTAATGTGGTGTGCATCAATCAACATCACCTCATTAAAGTGCATTAGCGCATCTGCATGTGGGCTAATGCGACTTAGCTAATTTCACCTAAAAGTTAAAGTGCCTTAAGGTGCATTAGCGCATCAACGTGTATATGCATGCCTAAATCTCCTTAATGTGCCTTAAGCAAAAGCACATTAAGTTTAGGCACATGCAAATACACATGTAGACACGCACTCAGAGAAGTGATTTAATTTGAACAGCACAAATTCAGGATTGTTCCAGCTTATGACAGCTTTTAGCAGTAAAATGTTGTGGTACAGACAGGACAAATCCAAACCAACCCCCACTCCCCCCCACGAAGAAACAACAACACTTGTTTTCTCATTTGCCTTTATCCCTTAGATATCCCTGAGCTCATATTCCAGGTTTCTATAAAAGTCCTATATTCTTTCTCTTGGGAAGACTACCTGGGTTTCATATTTTTTCCTAAAAGTATTGATGACTAATAAATATGCTTAATCTTTATTATATAACATTTTATCACTGAAGTCCAGCTGTTCAGAACAGTAAACAGCAGAAGACCAAAGTGCAGCCTGAGGGTGAGTTTGAGTTACCCAGCTGTTATGTCTGAACAATTATATTCTATTATCCCATCTGGGTTCCTAAGTGGAATAGGATTGCTCTCCAGAAATGCACAGCCATTTCCTTGTTTCTATAACGGGGACTTTTATGCACCCAGAGGGCACATCTACACGTGCATTTACTTTGACTGAATAAATTCTGACACAGTTTGCACCAGAGTTTATTGCTCCCAGGCATGACATTTACACATGTAGATTGCTCCCAGGACAGCAGCATATTGATCTGGGTCAGCATGGGTGACTGGTGCTGCCTTACTGGGGAAGGGGGGGGGGGCACGTGCCCCCACTTTGACCAGTCCCACCAACCGGGGGGTAGAGTTCCCCCCGTGGGTGATCCTGTGGACCGGGGCAGGGTTTTCCCAGGGTCCCCCAGGCAATCCCACAATGGCCAATTGCTGCAGCCAATCAGAGGAGTGGCTGGGGGTTCGGTAACCGCGTCCACGAGCGGGCGCG